ATAAAACAAAAGAAAAAAGCAGAGAGAAAATTCAAAAAACAAAGAACTAAAGAAAACAGAAGAAACTTTTACGATCTTCGGAGACAAATAGACACGAAACTGAAACAAATGGAGATAAAACAAACTGAAGAAGAGGTCCAAAAACTAAATGACCCACTGAAGAGATGGGCAGCACTTAAAAAGGGAAAACCAACACCTCCTCCAATACCTACTCTGACATCAGGCACCAAAACCGCTAGAACGACACAAGAAAAGGCGGAACTCCTCGCAGAATCTCTGGAAGAAAAATTCAAAGCTCACGACTGCCCCCAAGACCAAGAGCTATCAGAAAGAATAAACGAGTTCATCCGCCTTCTACCAAAAATGGAATCAAAAGACATACCTACCTTTACAATAGAAGACCTAGAGGAAGGCATCAAAAGAACAAAAGCTAAAAGCGCACCAGGCCCGGACGGAATCTCAAACAAGCTCCTAAAAGATCTCCCTGAAACTGCAAAACAACATCTTCTCAACATATTCAATGAAATAGTCCAACAGCAAATTTACCCAAACTGTTGGAAGAGAGCATGCGTCACAATGCTTCCCAAGCCGGACAAACCTCCAAACAATCCTAACTCATATAGGCCCATCTCTCTTCTCTCATGTGTTGGCAAATTATTCGAACGGCTTCTCCTGAAAAAAATAGACCAATCAGCAATACCCGACCATCAGTTTGGATTCCGAACAGAGCACAGTACAACACACCAACTCCTCCGACTAGTCACAGATGCTGCAAGGTACATTAACAACAAATACTCCTCCATCCTTATCTCTTTAGACATCGAAGCAGCTTTTGACAAAGTGCCACATAACGAACTCCTCTTCAAACTCCATAAACTCAAGCAACCTATATGGCTGATCAAACTTTTAAGCAACTACTTCTCTGGCAGAACTTTTCATGTAAAAATAAAGAACAAAATCTCCTCAAGTAAAAGAATCGCAGCAGGAACAGCGCAAGGCGCAATCATATCTCCATCCCTCTATAACCTCTACATATCAGATATGCCTACCAACTCCGACGTGTATCAATATGCCGA